GACACTCAAAGATGCGGCGGCTCCGGATCGGAAGAAAACTTTCAAGTGTGTACCATATCCGATTGCATGGTGGATCCATGCAAACCTGAACCTTCAGTAGTAATAGTAGGGGCTGGTGTTGCTGGTTTATCTGCTGCCCATCGACTTCAGCAATGCGGAATTACAAACTTTACCATTTTGGAAGCTACCGATAGGTAACTGGACTACATTGAGTTCTTTTGTCTCTATTTGCAGGATTTTAAGCATTTTGGGATCAAAAAGAGATGTTTGTTTTATCATTGGATCATTAATTTTACATTGAACTATCTATGGAATAAAGTCTAAAATAGTCCAATAATTTATGGTTCAATTCGCCTTGCTAAAATGATTCAGATAATACTTCCTTAATTGCAGACCGGGTGGTCGAATTCATTCCTGTTGGCTGGGTGATGTTATAGCAGAAATGGGTGCACAGTATATTGAAGGGGGTTGTATGGCAAATCCGATTTACAATTTAGCTGCTCAGGAAGGACTTTTGCAACCTCCTCTTGAACGTCCTGATCCCCTGAAGGGTCTGTTCTGCACAAGTGACGGCAGGGCAGTTGACGTTCATATTGCAACGTCCGCATATCATGTTTTTCGTAAAATCGAAAGCGAAGCAGCGGCACTCTTTAGCATGACAGGCGTTGGAAAACAGCATGGATCGCTGATGAATTTCATGACCCTACGAATACAGCAAGAACTTTTAAGATTTCCAGAAGAAGAAAGGTATTACATGATATGATATCCTTTAAAGTGTGCATCGATAGATTAGAACTTACACGAGTTTTCGAAATTTTGAAATTACATATATGAAGTTTTTCAACATATTTCGATAGAGAATTATTTATTGAAAACTGAAAAGGGACGGTGAATTTCTATCTTACTAATTCTGATTGGAATATTCAAGTATGTCCAATATAATCCTCCAGTTTAACTATGAAAATGTCGATTTGTCCCTGCCAGGCAGTTTAACATCTAATTTAATGACACATGCAGATGTACTAAAGGAATATGTATACTGAAACCTCATCAACGATATCTTCTAATCTAATGTTTTGTTTTCATTTGGATTTTATTAAATATTGGTAATCATTTAAAAATAACAACTAGTAACATTACCAGAACTTCTACTACAAAATCATTCAAAATCGAAGAAAAGGTGTGTGCTGTCTGGCGACTCCACCATTTCATTAGTATTCTTTGATAGATTGATAAAGAAATGAAGGAAAAATAAATTTATTATCGTATTTATAATACTTGAGATAATCTTCGCATTTTCCTGAAAGTAGAACATCCTACATCCTTATTTAGGTCTGCCTCTACTTCTTTTAACTCCAGTTTTTGCTTGTTCCCTTCATGCCTGGAAAGGTGCCCTATTTTTATTAACTTCCTTAGCTAACCTTCTCTATCCACAGAGGAAAAGATATTAAAATTAATTTTCTTTTAGGTATGATGTTTCAAGAGTAATGTTTGGGTTATTGACGAATATTCGATCCAGAGTGGGAGAAAGTTTATGCCAAGTGAGCGCCGACAACTACGGGAGCTACGTGGGAATTCCCGGAGGAAAGCTACGTGTTCCACTGGGTTTCGTTGGAGTATTGTCACCGTTGCTCCGAGACCTTCCAGAATGCGCGATCAAATACAACAAACCAGTAGGGTCGATCAGATGGGGTACCATAAGCAACAAATCGGGTGGTCCAAGAGCTGTCGTGATGTGTTGTGATGGCGATCAGTATCACGCCGACTACGTCATCATTACAGTGTCGCTTGGTGTTCTAAAGCAACACGCGGATAAATTGTTTTGTCCTCCGTTATCGGCAGAAAAAATGGAAGCCATTCATAATTTAGGATTCGGACATGTCGACAAAATCTTTTTAGACTATTGCAGACCGTTTTGGGTTTGGAACGAAGGGGGGGTCAAGTTTGCCTGGTCACCTGATGAACAACAATCAAGACAAGACTGGACCAAAGGACTTAGTTCAGTTGAAGAAGTGGAAAATAGCAAACATGTACTGTGCGCGTACGTTTCCGGACCGGAAGCTTTAGAAATGGAAAGGGCTTCCGATGAAGAAGTTGCCGAAGGAGTAACTCGTGTTCTGAGGCAGTTCACTGGAGACGCTTCTTTACCATTTCCTAGTACCATTCTACGATCAAAATGGAGCTGTGACCCTTACTTTTGTGGAGCAGTTAGTTACATGAGCTTGACCTCCTGTGTTGGTCATCAGTGTGATTTGTCGACTCCTCTTCCCGGCCCTTGTGAACCTGTACCTCCTATTTTGTTGTTTGCTGGGGAGGCTACCTGTACGGGGCACTTTTCGACAGTACACGGGGCTAGATTAAGCGGAATTAGGGAAGCCGAGCGTATTTTGAAATTGACAAGGGAGTATGGCGGTCCGCCGAAATGCTGAATTTAATTTACAGTTACATTACAGGCACATTTCGATCAGCAAAATAATATTACCGTCAGTAATAGTTTAAACTCTATACTGTAATATGATTTATTCGTGTATTTTTTTTAGTTTACCTACCTGATATGTCACAAATAAAATTATTGTTATGTATCGAGTTTACTAATATTAATACACAAATTGATCTGCAGCCATATTTCTCTTGTCGATGTAAACATGATGATACTAAAAAATAAATTTCGAGTACTTGTTTGGGTAGTATAGAAGACAAACAAACAATATTGAAAGATATTAAGTTTCATGTTTCTTTAAAAATGTGATGGTTCAAATTTAAATAAATTTCTAACAAATAAAATTGACGGATTGAAAGAAATATGAGTAATAAAAAGACTGACATTGTTTTACGAAACATGTTTATTGTCTCAACTCGTATGGACTATTATCAAGAAAAGGTTTGATGTCGACGAAGCATCATGATCGCAATGCTGATTGTGATACCTGTTTAATTTTCACAAATTTCTAACTCCGCCATTGCACAACGAATTAGATTTTCTGCGATGAAGCTACAATTAAGCTCATAATCCACGATCCAACATGAGAGCCAGTGAAGATTATGGTGCATTGTCAAAACTATTATTGGATATTGGAAATGGCAAATATCCATTTCATCAAGAAATAGGAGTAGATCTCATTCAAATTCCGTAGTATAAGATTATTGACTTGACTTCGATTTTAGAAATATTATGGATTCACTAAATTCCGAAGAAATCTTCGACGGAGCAATACTAATCTCCAAAATGAATTATTTGGCAGCAATTAACGAATAGGTCCTTAATAAACTGATAAAATGAAGCACAAATCTACTTGCAACATCCTGAACAACTTGAGCAACTGCCACATGAAGAGTGACAAATTGGTAAAGACTTTTACGACCAATAGGTGAACTAATGTCGTCCTGATTTAGGTCTAAAGGTTGTCGTCGATTGGAGTTCCTTCTTAACGTTTCTTAGCACGAGTGGTAAGCATCTTCAGCGATCCTTCCATCTGGTCACAATTTTTAATATTTTTTATGTTTCCAGGGTTATCTTCACTGCCTTTCACTAATAGCAAAAACAATTCGGAATAGACAAAGGACGTAGCCAACATATTAAACGCGACATTTACAAGATACTCACCAGAACTTCCCCCATTTACAGGCCCTTAAAACATGCTTGTTTTTGTAAATAAAACACTTCATAGGTAAGATTTTCCTTCTTCATTCTTTGATCTATTTTTTTTTTTACTGACGAAGATTATGAATTAAAACAATTTATGCATTTGCATTCGTCAACAACATTTATTTGTATACATATACATATATTATTAATGTACATATATGCAGTAGTACAATCGTTTACATATATCACATGCCAATAACGAAATGGTCCCTATTACAGACGCATATGTAAATATGCACACATACGTATATAATTAGCAACATTAATTAGACTCGTAGGAAGCGAACAACAGCAACAACGTGGTCCCACATTGGTCATTAAATGGATTCAAAATCTGTACAATTCTAAGTGCCTAACAATATTTTATACTGATAGTGACCTTCAGAGGTCAGGAACGTACGAAGCCCAATACCAACAATAGATGTTTTGACAATTAGAAATAAGTAAAGTTGAAATTAAAGGACCAAGACTACAATTACATTATCAAAGTTGAAACTTACCTCGTTGATCTGAAATAGTTTATGTTTTACTCATTTTAATGAGAAAAATCTAAATTATTAAAAAGAATTTTAAATTAGGATTAATTGCATATAAAAGGATTAAGGGTCAGGAGACCTAACCAAAAGAAAGATTGAATGGTCTAGATGTTTCAATTAGTCTTGTTTCTGCTCATTGGTAAATACAAACAAAAAAGTATTATCAAAACAGTCGTATTGTGGTCTGATTGTCCTTTATGTATCATAAATCGTGTCATAATAATTTAATTTAAATAAACAAATGGACTATGATATAATTCTAGTGGATACCATTAACGCCATTCGTAACCGATCCATTCAAAGATAATACTTCATCGGTAGACGCCTTGATTTCGTTCCATGAAAGATTTACATCTTCCTCTTCGGTATATTTCGAACATATCACGAACCTTAAGAAGTAAACGTCACGTATTTTCGAGGGTACCATATGTATCAGCCCCCTTCCGTTGATCTTCTTCAACAAGGCCTCGTTAATCTCATTGCTACCCTTCAATCTAAAGCAAACGACTCCTAAAACGACTTTTTCGGTGATTTCAAATCGACTGTCGGTGTTTACGAGTGACTCAAAGTGGTGTGCCAGGGAGACCTGCTTCCTAATGTGCTTCTGAAGATTTTCAACTCCGAAAAGCCGAAGAACGAACCATATCTTCAAAGCACGAAATCTTCTACCCAGTGGAATTTGCCAGTGGCGGTAATCCGGTGCAGCACCTTGATGGTCATGCTTTAGGTAGACGGGATCGACATTGAACGCGTTAACAACCCAGTTTGGGTTCTTGAGCCAAAGAGCGGAGCAGTCGAAGTTCACCAACATCCACTTGTGGGGGTTGAAATTGAATGATTCGGCTCTCTCAACGCCCTTCATTAAATAACGGAATTCTGGACATATGAAGGCTGATCCGGCATACGCAGCATCGACGTGAAGCCATATATCGTATTTATTGCAAACTGGTCCCATTTCGTCCAAACGGTCAAAGGTGCAAGAAGATGTTGTGCCCAAAGTGGCTACTACCTGAGAAATTTATTTCCGTATTTGGACAAATAAAAACGAGTTATTGTGAAGATACGCAAGAATATAAGAACAGAGGCTTTCACGGACGAAATCCGTAGTAGAATGAAGATTCGGGCTTTAGGGCCGTGGTCTAAGTGAACTATTCTGTCCAGACGTTTCGTCAGCTACTGTGACTGACATCTTCGACTGGATGATCCCAGTCACTGTCGCGACTTCGATATATAATCTACGTTCACGTTGTCAACGCAGCACCACCACTGAGGATGTCAGCCGCAGTAGCTGATGAAACGTCTGGTCAGAATAGTTCACTTAGAACACGGCCCTATAGCCAGAATCTTCATTCTGCTATGGATTCCGACCGTGAAAGNGTCTATCGTAGGACATAATTGAAATCTATTCGTTATTAGTTATTGTTTTATTAGTCCTGTCCAAGTAGTCGGCTCCAAAACGTAATGGATAGAAAAGGATAGGTGGAAAACGCTAGGGAAGTCAGCAAGGAGAAGGAGAGAACGGAGAGACACTTTGACACACGAAGGGCTAACATACAAGAACTTAAAACCTCTTAATAGAAATTTTACGTCCTTAAAAGTTTCCGTCGTCATAAGTATAATTTTAAAGTAGGTACCTAATACAAAAATAATTGTAACAAGGAATGTTTAGTTTTTTATGATTTCCATTCGCTCAATTTTCGGGAAATGCATATTGATTAATCCACTTTCATATACCCGTACCAGAATGCCTTGAATATTAGTTTATTTCCATCATAAGTTCCATTACTTCACTGTAGTTTCGTAAAATCATTACCAAATTTATATAAATACAACTTTATTTACATATATTTGAAAGATACAGATGTGTTGAAGATAGAAACTTCTATTTGTTCGAAAACTTTAACGAAATTAAGCGGAGTATACCTCAAATAATTTTGTATAGGTACATCACGAAAAGTTTTGGAAAACAAATTTTTATTCTTTCTTTGAGGCTGTCAATTACTGTTCAGAACCATCAGAAACTTTATTACCTACTAGTTTACTCCTTTTTGCAATTTTTTACTATAATTTGCATCAATATAGAAAGGCATGTATGAGCCAAGCGAATAGAAGTGCGAAACATAATTTTTATTTTGAAATTTTGACTTGCAACTCCAAAGAACATGAACAAAGTGAGTGTTGTCGAACTCTCTTTTATTAGCACGGTTGAACCAAACCTAATCTAATTCTATCCCAAACTTAAATCCTAAGTCATTTGAAACGCAGACAGAAATCGTCACAACATTGATAGGTAACTGAATACATTACGTAAACATTTTCAGTTTAAAGTCAACATTTCCAGATTCAAGTCGATATTTTGAGTTCCATGTCGAAATTTCGAGTTATGGATCAAAAGGACCCCGCTAGATCCTTACGGAAAATGGCCCACTGTCAAACTCTTTAAAACTTTGGATTCTGGTAGTTAAATTAAAAGTTTCATTGGGCTTTATGTCGTAAAAAGTCATCATTTTGAGATATAGTTCTTCCTAATTGCATCTTGGACGTCCTTACGGAAACATGGTACTTTAAGGGACCTTATTTCAAAAAGAAAAGAGTTTTTTCAACTTAGCACCCATTGAATCTTTTGATCTACAAGTAGAGGACTACCAGAATCCAAAAGTTTGACACAGAATCGTTTTGAGCTAGGATCTAACGGGGTCCTTTAAAAAAAGTTATCTTTGACTCGAGTACAATGTACATATTGTTTGCGCGAATGTCTGCTCTTAATGTTGCAAATACAATAAAAAAAAAACAATAAAAATAAAATGAATGTAAAGTAAATTCATGGTCCATAACAAACGAACGGTCTGATGCAATTTTAACATACAGTTTCGGTCTGTTAACTAACCAGTTACTAGGATTGTTCACGAGCACATAGTTAAGGTAGTGATGGCAAAATTCTCGAGGCCAAAATAGCAATAGCACAAAAAGTGAATGTTGAAAGCAAAGAATAGTAAGTGACTTACATAAAAGGGTATAAGGCCAGCTTCAATGTCTTTCTTGATGGCCTCTTCCAGCGTACTGCCTTCGACCTCGTTTTTATCGTTTGTTTGCAAAGATCGCATTTTAACACCTCCCAAAAGGCCAGCACGTTCTACCGAAGAATGAGATTGAACTAAAAAAAAATAGAATACAATTAATTTATTGTACAAGTGGAACTAGGGATGAATGGAATTAACTTTTGTCTATTGTAGAACTGAAATTTCATTTATAGAGTTGATCTTTTGTAGAACTATGAAGTGATTGATTTGGGTGATTAAATTTTTTTTTGTTCAAGAAAAGTGTCGTTAAATCGATTTTAAAGATGGCAATTTACCTGAACAATATGCGACTAGTTTAGAAATAACATCAGACTCGGACATATCCGGTTTTTCTTTTTTCATTTTGGCAACCGTACGTGCTTTAGCTCCAAGAAGACAAACTAAAGTGGCTTCACTAGCGGTACCCTGGATGACACCGCCGCCTTTTCCTCCAGAACAAGCCAGGAACTCGGGCGGCAAATCGAGCATTTTTCCAAGCCAGTCTAACATCACAACTTCAAGTTCAGTGCATGCAGGACTGGCTATCTGTAATTCAATATGAATTTAAAATTCTTCAATAATTCTGGAAGAAGTTTGCGAACGTAATATTCTACAATTTTGAATAGGAAAATTTCATTAAGTTTTTAACCCGGGATTGTTTTCATATTTTTATATATTTATCTGAAAACAATGTTAGCATGGAATTTGTATTCGTTTTCCAGAAAATTAATCTACGTCAGAGACAAAGGGTGGCTTTATGACACTACCATGATGAATAATTCCCGGGTAATTTCCCGTAGGAGCGAATTAGATACGAACAGTAACCCATTGTAAAGTTTTTGACATTTAAATTAATCAGTTACGTAGATTCATAAATGGTTAATTAATATAGTATACAATAATAAGCAAAACAGACTAGTACTACTGTTCGTTTTTATTTCAAAATAACTTGTCAAATTCTTAAATCAACTTTTCTCCATTATTAACCGTTTTGGAATTTTAGGTGTTATTTCTAATAAACCTACAGTTTTATTCAGTCTGTATTTAGGCATATTCGACGTAAATAAATTCTAATAATAGATGTACAAGTTGCTGTCGTTGAAGAAGCAAGTGTAAACACCATAAAAAAGCAGCTTATTTCTTGAGATGGACAAAAAACTTATCACGATGTTAGTCATTCAGTTTACGAAAACAACTCGAGCGGTGCAGTGTTGTGTGCTTTCGAACTTTTTAGTGAAGTTAAATAATTATGAAGAAACGAATAATTATCTATTACTAGGTAAATTTTTCTAATTGTATTTATCAAATTACTCAATTGAATGGTTTAAAGTAGCTAACAAATAATATAATAAATAACAATGCCATCATTTCTTGGTGAAACATCTTAACTCGGTAGATGGAAAAATAAAAGTACTATATGAATTGTTTCACACCTTTTTATCAGAAAAGTTTAAGCATATTTTAAGGTATTTTCAAGAGTGATATTGTATTCTATTGCTGCATTGCTACTTTAAGTAATAACATCATTTTTTTTTTAAGATTTCGAGCATCCAAGGGGAGAAACAGGAACCTAAATGGGATCTCGTCCATCTGGTCACCTACCCAGGCTGAATTAAATAAAGGTAGACAGTAAAATGTACTAATTTTGCGATTTTTATAAAATTTCTGCATCTCGAACAATATCTACCTTTTTAACACAATAAATAATTCCCTAAATCCCGCGGGCTATTACATGAGTTGCATGGTAAACCGCAACATAATGTATTTTTAACAGCTGATATGTGATTTTGGCACATATATATTATATTTCCATTATATACATATTTATCATGTTCCTTTCAAAATAAATTCGAAAAAGTCATCCATCTCAAAGATCCATTAGTTTCCACGTAGTCGAATCAAGATGAGTTACAGACGAGTCAAATTAAAATATCGGAAAAAGTAAATGTTATCCAGGGTAAGACCTATCTAAAAGTTTCGAGAAAGGTATGTAAATCAAGGATATCTGCGAACTATCCAAAAATTTTAGTTGGAATTGTTGCTAAATTGCGTCTAAAAACACGCGAAAGACGTTTTTCGCTGATAACAAAAAACTATAAATTCTACAGAAAAAAGTTACAACACAGTATTCTAAAAAATGGATGCTTCAATCCTCACTGGATAGTCCGAATTGACAGATACATACATTAGATCACAGTTACATTTTGTTGGATTTTTGGTCTCTTTAACGTTTTAGAGCTTTTCCTTTGCAATCAGTGATTCGCTATCAATCTCATACATAATTCGTAAGGTTTTAATCATAACTATTGTTGCCGTTTTACTTGTGATCATCTGTTAATCTCTGCATATTAGGGTTAGACTACTGATCTTCCTGAATCTTTTTTCTCTGTGAACCCCTAGAATTGCTTCTACAGACAGGGTGTTGTTCGGAGCGACTCTGCTTACGTTTCTCAATCGTCTATCATGTCTACAGTAATATATTCCACATTATAACGAAGTGAAATTTGCTTATTGGTTTATTTCTATGTAAGGGGAAAGTCTGGAACTATTAAGCCAATTCCAACAATTTTTCTACCAATAGAGAGTCACAATTGTTTACTTATAAAATTAAAATTTGTTTCTAAAATGTGGGCAAATGGAGAGTAGATTTCAGACTTGTAAAGTCAGTTTAGTAACACTATAGGCATATTATTTTGAAGAAATGACGATCAAAATACGTAAAATTTGTTTTCTGACTTTGAGCAGTAAGTCAAAACTAAAAACTATGATAAAAATTGACATAGGATGATAAGTTAAGGATGTGGGATGTTCTAGTTTTAAGGAAGATTAGCTCAGGGTAGAAAAGAGTGGGAATGCGTGTCCAACCAGTCTTAAGACTGGCGACCCTTTGATGATGATCATGAAGATGATGAATGATAAAAATATGTAAAATTTGTTCTGACTATGACCAGTGAGTCAAAACTAAAAACTATAATGATAATGCTGATGATGAACGACAAACTTAGACATAAAATGGTAAGTTAAGGATGTAGGATGTTGTAGTTTTAGGGATAATTAGCCAAGGACAGGAAAGAGTGGAAATGCGTGTCCAACCAGTCTTAGGACTGACAACCCTTTAATGATAATGATGAATGATACAAATACGTAATGTTTAATGGATAAATATCAATCGCAAGAAATTGTGATGTACATATGTACATACTGGAAACTTTTTGCAACTAGAAAATTTACCGATGACATATTGTAGAATCTCCAACACATGACTCAATCTCGTGACCAATCGCATTTGATAAAATTGTTTTGTTTAACGGTCTACATAGTCTAGATTTTTATTCTAATCACTTACCCAAGTAAAGCCGATGCAGGCAATAGCTCCACTTAAAATGTCAGCCACTATGGCCGGATAAGAATTAGCAGTCGGAAAATATGCGTGAAAACGCGGGGAATGCCAATGCGTTACCTGAAAACAGTTAATTAGATACTTATTGTAACAGAAGCCTTCCTCTTATAAAGTGTAATTGACGTGTTTATCAAGGTTATTGCACATATTAATACATATTTACATAATTAATTCGCTTCATTTGTCTTAGACTATCATATGTTTTAATTTATGCAATTTTTTATTATTAATTATAAATAAAACAGTCCAGTTCATTCAACGATTTATTACTAGAAGAAGTCGCCAATTTTTTAATATCTAGGACGTTAAGTATTATTAGATAACTCGAGGCAAAATGAGCTGTAGAAACATAAAACAAAGAATAGTGCAGGGTCGAGTTACTTTTAACGAAACGAAATCACTTTTATACCAGTTAAGACTAGCTAAAGACATGTTAAAAGCAAAAACAGGACTAAAGACGGGAGAGAGCAAACGAAGAAGTTCAGTAAAAGTTCCTTATTCACGGTTTCCTTATTCGCGGTTGCAATCGGTAAACAGAAAAGGATTAGATGTAATTTATTAAGGGGATTGACCGCAATAGACTGCTCGTGCCTAGTGTGAATTTTCCGGAAAACATGGGTTTCTATTCTAAACATTGTAATTTAACGCTGCGAGATAAATATCTGATTTTTTGTATGGTAATAGACAAAGGTTCACACTAACTCGGTACATTTTTAGTTTTCAATAATATGGTCATTAATAGCTTTTACAAGTGCTTAAAGTTGATGCTTCTTGTAGGACTCGCATTTTCAATAGAAATTAAAAAATTAAAAAATGCCCTTCGACAAGCTATAGAACAAACCTTTATCTATCTTACTACAAAATTTCAAACCTCTGTTCCAAATATTAAACTCATGATATCTAGAACCGATAAGCATGTTATTACTCTGTGGCGCGTGTACCACTGAATCCCCTCAATGTATTGGGATCTTTTGAGTAAACAAGGGTTCGGTCTTATTTTTCAACGTATCAGCATCTTTTGATTGCTATTGGCTCGTGCCGAGGCGACTGTTATAATAGATGTAACCGAGTGGATTAATTTCAAAATTCAAAAGAAGAAAAAGTCACAAAATTTTTTAAACTCTTGCCTAAAGCTGATTATAACGATTAATTTTAATTGCGAATTTATCAATACATTGATTTTATTTTGATACATATTGGTTTTATTTTGGAACCTTAGAACGTATCCCCTATGATTCCATACTAATTACCATTCCATATCCACGGTTTCTGTATTCGCGGCATATTTATGGAA